CCTAATTGAAATACTTACTTACTTTAATCCAATCTAAACATAATAATTAGGGTTCCAACGTCATAATGTGAAAAGCTAAGTACTGACATGGAACTCTAGGACTGTTCACACCTAAATGTGCATTCTGTAAATAAAATTCGGTGTTTGTCATCAGCAAAACACGATATACATTGATTATGCAAGTATATTTGTAAAATTGGTAGAAACGTGTACAATAATTACTATATAATATTCATTGAACATAGTCAACGATACTGTCATTATTATACTTTCACAGCGTGCATTATACTATTAAACAAGGATTGATGCCAAACTTACATACCACTGTATTCAGAAATAATCATCACCTAGATGTTTCTATAAAAATTATGCTATAATAAAACAATATATTACAAAAATAGAAGAACGTACTCTACTAATATGTAGCATTGCCATTGCTCACGGAATTCACAAGTACGGGAGTGGCGATTTTCCTCGGCACGACGTCGAACCAAAATCCACCTTCAGCCGTCATTTGGAACCCTTTCTTGCTCAACTTCATCGGTATAGGTGTTCGTTCATTTGGTTTGAGGTTGCAGCGAGCGAACACGTGGAACAGCAACACCTTGGCCTCGAGCAGCGCGAACCTGTTGCCGATGCACATTCTCGGACCCAAGCCGAAGGTCAAAAACATTCCGGAATTCAGGATTTTCTTCGGATCGTCGAGGAAACGGTCCGGATTGAACTTCGTAGGCTCCTCAAAGTATTGAGGATCGAATTGCACCCCGTAGATTGGTATCCAAAGGTACTCATCCTTCTTGACTAGATGCGGCTTTCCTCCTGGCAGCGGAGGCGGCAGTTCGAAAGGTTTCGTGCAGGCTCTGTCCACACCAACGATCACCGGATACATCCTTAGAGCTTCGTTTATAATAGCGTCTAGATACTTCATGTCGTTAATCGCCTCATACGACACCTCTCCTTTGCCGTTCTCCAGCACCTCGTCGATCTCTTCCTGCAACCTCTTTTGAACCTCCGGATTCACTCCTACTTCATATGCAGCAAAGCACATCAGGGTCGAGGTGCTCTCGAACCCGCCGAAGAAGAAAACAAACGCTTGCGCGGTCATGTCCTCGATCGTCAGTTCTTTGCCTGGACCCAATTTTCCTCTAGTTTCCATCATTAACTGAATCATATCCGGTCGCACGATGCCCTGCTCGTCCCTAGCTTTAATGGTCGACGAGATCAAATCCTGGAAGAATTCTGCAATTTCCTTGTCCACCAGCTTCATACCCAGCAACCTCAAAAGCCTTGGCGAAATGCGCATCAAGAAGAACTTGATAGACTGCCACCTGCCGAAATGGGTGGCTCTCCTGCCGTACACATAGAACGTGTTGTTACGGTTCGACATCGAATCCACGGTCACGCCGAAGGCACAGGTGGCGATCACGTCGTTCGTGTATCTGGTGAACGTGTCTTTCAACTCCATGGACCTTTCCTTTACGGGTACCGTAGCCAAAATCTCCCCGTACCGTACCGCACACTCGCGCATCAATTTGTACATTGCTTTCATTTTGCTGGACGTGAAAGCTGGGCTCAACAAGGTTCTCACTTCTTTCCATCGTTCTCCGCGTAAAGCGAATAAGTTCTTACTGAACAGCGGTTCCGATGAGTCCGCCTGCGAGCGATGGTCCTGGAAATGCTCGAAATTCTTCACCGTGATGGACTTCAGCAGCTCCAGGTCGCGGATCATAATCACCGGCGTGAGGAAGTCGAAAAAGCCGACGTACTGTGCTTCGGGGTGGACATTGTAAAGTTGTTGAACTAACTCGGCGAAGGTACATTTTTGCGCGACCCCTTTCCACAGGCTACCCAAAACCGGCAACGACGGCGCGACCGGAATCCCGGTATTGTGGAAGAAACTATACACAGTTTTTAGGTAATAATAGATCGCCGCCGCACCCACGACGAGCAAAGCCGAGGTCACCGTCCATGCATCAATCATGCTGATCGATTCAACTTACTGGACGATTTGTCATGCATCTATCGCGGAGTACGATAATTGTATTTCTTCACTGATTCTTCTTTCCCGATAGAGCACGTTTTGGTCATTCAGAGTTCGATGATGTTGATGTAAGATGGAACGCGATCCTAGTAATGGACTCGTGAATGCTAGCTGTCTGGCTACTGCGTGCTATGGCGTTATACTGACATCATTCAGTCAAACCGCGATCTTTTATTGCATTTCACCGCTTCAAGCTGTGACAGTGTATGCGTTGCGTCGTCACGCAGATCATCGGTCCTGTGTTCATGCATCCCCACCCTGCATTCGCAGTGTCTGTCATTGATTGGTTTAAATGTACTATTTGCGTGTGTAATCTATTATTCCAGTTCGCTCCGTTATCTCAAAATGGATGACATACCAACATTCAACACACGTTGGATACTGTCTAAGATGTGTATATTTCTTGTTGTTCTGTATTGGTTTTAATCGGTGATTTTGCTCGGTATTGATCACAGTTTCGATAACGCGGCATTTGATAAAAAGCCACGTCATACAGATGGGAATTTAGAAAGGTTTCAAAGACAATTTCTTCATTCAGAAGTCAATTTCAAAAATGTATTCTAAACTAAAACATTTTAATTCCTCGAGATAGTTCATACTATATAATTAAGTCAGTACATGGAACACTGATTTACCAAGTATCACACTATTCGAATATTACAGTCCCTGGCCATAGAATTAGGACCACTACAAATTTTAAGCATTTTTCGCGTTTTCCGTAAAATTAAAAGGCTTGGTGAATTTGTAATGATATAATTTATTAATTACTAACATAATACACTACTGCTGTACATAATATTGTTATCACATGTTAGTATCTTGTATTTCCACCTTTTGCTTTGATGACAGCTTGTACCCTTTCCGGCATGCTCCGTATACGTTGCTTGATTATATCCTTTATATCTTCATTATTTTCCCAAATTACTGGAATTTTTGTTTTTAACTGTGATAATGTGGTGTTTGGAGATTCATAAACTATTCATTTAAGTAGGCTCCAGACGTTTTCTATAGCATTCATGTCGGGAGATTTGCCTGGCCATGGGAACAAGGGGATATTTTTTGATAAAAGCAATGTTTTAATGGATTTGGCTTTGTGACATGGTGCTCTATCGTGTATATATGTATATTGGGATCCTAAAGATGTGTAAAATGGAAGAAATCGATTTTTTATGACATCTTCGTACTGTTTAGCATTCATAGTTCCATTAACAAAATAAAGTGGGCCTGGTTTTTCAATTGTTATACAGGACCATATTATCACTGCTTGTGGATGTTTTACCGATTGCACCACACAATCTTGGTGGAATTGCTCATGAGATCTTCTTCGGACAAATTATACTGATATTGGCTTCGTATAAATGTCTTCTGAATGTTCTCTCAGATATATCCACTCCATCGTTCTTAAGACGTTGCACCAGTACCCTTGTAGTCGCGCGACGGTTTTCTAATGCAGTTTTTATAATTTTTCGGTCTGTTCTCGGTGTGGTTTTTCGTTTACTGCGAGAGGATGACCTTTTGTTTGAAAACTGCGACACATTCTCCTTCATACATTTGGCGATTCTCATCACTGTTTGATGCGAAATATTCGCATTTTTCGCGATTTGTCGCTACGAGAGGTTGCCACTCCTCAGGAGACCACATATATAGGCCCTTTTCTCACTAGTCATGTCCTGTCGTTTACCCATATTTCATAAAATGCACTCGCTAAAACATTCAACGCTGATTTCTTACGAACGCTTCAACGATTCAGTCACAACAGATTCTCTTCTTCATCATTTGAACTTCTAAGGATCTCTCATGCATATGTGCAAGACATTTTCATCGTGTATACACAAACAAATCTTGCATTTTCCAAATCTGACCTCACGCGCCATCGGCACTTGAGCGTAACGTAAACGCTGGGGCGAACCATAATCGTTCGTCACCCACACAGTTTGATTATAATCACGATAGTAACGAATTAATTGTTATCTATAAATCATTATCAACGTATTTGGTAATAATTTGAATGACCTAAGACAATTTTCCATATATGACATACTGTTATAGGCATAAAAGTGAAATTTTCGTACGTGGTCCTAATTCGATGGCCAGGGACTGTACATCGAGTAGCTATATCTTTCAGCGCTGCGCGAAAGGACTTGGGTTTATGAAGAACATGAACACCTGGGCGTAATGTACGCTCCTACGCCACATTATACTTTAACGGGAAAATTTTCTGTTTAGTTCAAACACTGAGGAAATTTCCCCTACCAGAAATACACTTTGAAGTTACCGAAAGCTGCCCATATCCCTGCTTCTTTTAACAAACGATTAGGACAGTCGGCACCAGACACTCGCACGATAGGAAATATCTCCCTAGCTTCGAACAGTCAAGGTTTCTTAATACGTTGACGCTCAGTTTGATTTCATACTTCCAGAATAACATTATTATATTTTTTTTTATTTATAATATTAAAAATATGATACGGCTATCCCTGTCATCTGCAGCTACATTCACGAGCATTGGATGTCTGTAGACGGCATTTACGTCAACGTGTTAACGATATTTGTAACTGTACATGTCTTTTCCCTCGCGGGACACCAGGCGCATCCCGCGGTATGCAGCCTTCCACGTGGGAATGGGCGTCACCCCACGTGGCGACGTATATATCGACCCCTCTCGTGGGAACAAGTATGAGCTCAAGAAAAACAACATGTCTTACCGTTCCCTTTGGTTTCGTGGTTATATTTTGTTTGACCACAGTCGCGTACGACTGGGCCACAGCCTTCTTTGGCTTTTCCGTCATTGTTGGTGTCACTGTTGAGGCCTTTGGCCTTGCTTTGGCGCATGCACTCGCCTTTTCATTTTCCAAGGCTTGTATCCGCCTTTCGACATCCACAAGCTTCTTGGACATTTCTAATTTCTCTGATCCGTTTTTCTCTGTAAGGGCTCGGATCTGCCTTTCGGCTTCTCCCAGCGCCTTACATTTCTCTTCAACTTCTGTCGCGTATTCCCTGGCGATGAAGGTGATGTACTTGAATTTTTCAAGATCACCATCAGGCTCAGGGCCTATCAAGACCTGAATTTGATCCACCACTTTCTTGCACTGTTCGAACAGTGCTTCCAGTGGCGTTTGATCGCCATCAGGCTCTGTGGTAGATTGTTCTACCTGCTTGATTTCTTTATTCTGCCTCTTCCTCTGCGAGGCAGTTTTCTTCTCCGTGCCGGATTCCGAATCGGAACCTTCCAGCCTCTCCATTCGTCTTTTCCGGCGTGATACCTCTTGGGTATCACCCGGTTTTGCTCTGGCGGTGTTGAGGAGGGGTGTATCCCCCTCTCCAGCCATCAGAGCGTCTTCTTTCTCGATGAGGGCCTTTTGCACCTCAACCACCGACAACTTCTTTGTTTGTTTGTTTTTATTAGGTTTGACCATGATTGATCCCACGAGTAGGGACGAAAAGAAGTCGCCCTCCCGGGTGACGCCCTTTCCAGGAGGGAAGGCTAAATACAACGAGGTTCGCCAGGTGCCTCGAGGTTGGTCGCTAAGGGTTGGTGCACCCACCAGCCACAGACCATCGCTAGGACGGCCCGCACCCCTTCGCCGCGCACCGTAACTTAAGGTTTCGGATTTATTAGAGAGGTTTATCTCCTCGTGGACCGGACAGTTAAGGCAAGTCCCCCGACCGGTTATGCTTCGCATACCACCGGGTGGATGTCCCCAGTGGGTCGTTGCTAGACATACCGGCTACGGTATTTGACGGCTCCGCGGTCCGTACGGTATAAATACCGTCTGGACGCTCGCAGGAGAGCCGCGCCAGAGCCTCGTTGGCAAACTCGAGAGTTTCCCAGGGTGTACACCACTTGGAGGAGAGGTTGGCTGTGCCAGAATGAAGCTGTGCACCCGTGTACCCCATGACAAGTGAGCAGGTAAAAGAGCGTGTTATGAAAGAGGTGAGTGGAAGTTTGAACGTAAGGGTAAAAGCCGTTAGGAAGATGCGGAACGGAGAGATCGCCGTCGAAACGGTCAGTGCGAGTGAAATGAAAAGAATGAGAGAGTGTAAGAAGTTTGAGGAAATAGGTATGTGTGTGAATGAGCCAAAAAAGATCGGAGAGAAAGTGATTGTGTTCGATGTGCCGTGTGAGATGACGAATGATGTATTGATGAGTGAAGTGTACAATAAGAATTTGCGTGAATGTGTGAGTGAAAGTGAATTTAAAGAGAGAGCGCGTGTGGTCAACCGGATCAATAAGAAAGAAGCGAATGTAGGGAATGTGATCTTAAAGTTAAGTGTATGCATGTGGAACAAGTTGATGTGTGCTGATCGTGTAGCTGTAGGATGTCGTGCGTGTAAAGTAAAAGAGTTTGTGAGTGTGCTGAGGTGCCACAAATGCTGTGCATTCGGGCACATGGCTAAGGAGTGTCGTGAAAAAGAGAGTGTGTCAGAAGTGTGGTGAGTATGGGCATATGCGGAGTGCGTGTAAACAGAGTGAGTGTTGTCGAAATTGTAAGATTAAGGGTAATAAGAGTGACCATTCGGTTACGTCACTAGAGTGCCCGAAATATGTAAGGATGGCTGAGCGAGAGCGTGCGAGAATAAGTGCTGATTAATGTCTGTGTGTGTATTAAATGCGATCCAGTGTAATTGTCAGCGTGCGTATGCGGTTATGTGTGATATGGGTGTTTTGATGAATGAGAAACGGGTGAGTGTGGCCATACTGCAAGAGCCGTATGTTGCCGTGGATGGATGTGTGAAGGGTTTACCCTCAGGTATGAATGTGTATGTGTCTGATGCGGGCCTGAAAAAGGCCGCCATAGTTGTGAATGATGTGCGATTGGAATCCTTGTGCGTCAGAGAGTTAACTGACGAGCATGGGGTGTGTGTGTGGATCTAGGGGGATTTCGGTGAGGTGTACGTGGTGTCTGTTTACTGCAGGTACGGCCATGAGATTGGTCCGTACCTGGAGTATTTGGAGCGTGTGCGTGTGCGTGTGAGGGGAAAGAGGTTGTTGGTGGGAATGGGTGCGAATGCAGTGTCGCCCTTGTGGTTTAGCAAGGGCGACCTGCATTCTAGAGAGAATGTGATGCGTGGAGAAATGATTGAGGATTGGATAATTGGAAATGGAATGCGTGTGTTGAATGAGCCGAGTGAGTGGTTTACGTTTGCGGGTGTGCATGGGCAGAGTGACATTGATGTCACTCTGGTGAATGATG